TCTCCGTTCTACCTTCTCAAAAATTTTGTCGGATATGGAAAGACTCACCCTGTATAATGCTAAATGTAATACTTAACTAAAACTATCTGTTTTTACAATCCTAAATATAATGCTATGTTAAACTTTTCTTTTTCTCATTCATTTTATTTTTAAAGACCTCACCCCCTTCGTTCCCCTTTGAGAGTGCACAAGGTCCTTCTCTGGGTAATAGGGATTAATTTCCTTGACCCAAAATTAGGACCTGCGATCGCACCGGTCTTGAAAAGAGTCAGTGTTCTTTCGGGACATTGACCTTTTCAGAGCCTTTGAAAAGTGCGTTCGGCTCGCTTCCACGCGCCTCCGAGCGTGTTAGCGAGACATTTAAAATTACTTGTTACGTCATTCCATACCTCAACATCTGCCCGTGAAACTCTATTTCCCTTCCTCAAATCTACTCCAAGAGGTTTTGACGTAACAACTATATTTCTATATGTTTATTCATGTTCATGCATGAAAAATTTTTTACCGGATAGCATTATAACGACGCACTTGAATAGGATTTTGCTTGCGTTGTTGAGCCATTATTTGTACGAGAGTTCTTAGATATTTGCGCGCAAAATTATACGTTAAAACTAATCACTTGCGTGCAAAAGCACAGACTAAACAAATCTTACGGGCAAAACTCAGGCAAATCTCGTATAAGGTTGCATGCATAAGACAAGCAAAATTTGCGCGCAAGAATTGTTATCTGGGTATTGTTAATTAAAGATATATTAGGTTCATAAATAAAAAGTAAAGGAAATTTAGAGATAAAATTAAATACGTATTCAAGATGTAGAATTTTGGGGAAACAGGAAAAAATTACCTGTCTATTGTAACAAGTAAACAAAGAAGATGAGTATTTCTTTTCTAGTTCTAGTTAACCCTTTCTTATTTCGATAACAGTTGCAGAATTTTTGCGAAACTCAATACATTTGTTTAAAAAAATTATTGTATTTAAAAGTATGTATTAAAAATACAAATACAATATAAAAACGATATACAAGTTATATTGTAGAGGACTAAATTATTAGAGGAAAGTTCCTTATTATGAGGTAAGCTCCTAATATGAGATAGTAGAGTTTTTGCTAAATTAATAAGCATCATCTATTGGTTTCGTCGTGAATTTATTGCCCTTGGAGTGAAATCTGTTTAGTGGAAAATTCTTTGTTAGATCGTGTAATCATTGTGAATAAAGATTTGGGATTCAATTTTGATGTTAAAAACTTGCTATCTCATATTAGAAGCCTATCTCATAAAGAAGGACTTTCCTCTACATTAAAAAGTGTAATTTTTTACATGATGACATTGAATCGTCTCAATTTTGCATACTGAATCGTGCCACTGTTGCATTGCTTCAACCGTGGCAAGATCGATCGAAACAATTGGATATCTCATGCATTACTTGTTAGTGAGCAACTCGTTGTAGAAAGAGTGAGATTGCTACGAGTATTCCGCCGGCGGCCATCATTTGCGACGAGCCTGCAAAAGAAAGAGGTAAAAACTTAAGCGACTCGGTCGAGCATTGAATGGAATTAGTTTGTGACGGTGCAATTAAGCGTAATTAACCTCCGCATCGCTCTCCCTCCTTACACACGCACTGTTGCTTCTTACACTCCATTGTATCGAAAGAGTCGCCGCCGTCGTAGCACTCGTAGTCGTGCGAGCAAGTGAAGTATAGGGCTGTAGAACAATAAAGTAACGTGAAGAAATTGAAACACGATTCCCTGAGGAGAAAACCAAATTGATCAACTCCGTAAAGCACAAAGTAAAAATTTGACAAAGCCGCGAACCACCCGGTAAACACCAACTTCACAGTTACATAACAATATTATAATTTCCTCAACAATGTAATTGTTATGAATACAACATGTGTTTTATAGAGGAGAGTCGTCCCCTATTATGAGATATGCTCCTAATATGAGATAGCGGGGGTTTCTGCAAAATTAATGGGCATCATTTCACCATAAATTTGTTGGAGCAAAATCTGTTTAATGAAAAATTTATTGTTAGATTGTGCTTGTAAAGGTCTGTGTTGTACGATGCTAGAACTTGGTCCAACCTTAGTAGCATAGTGCATTGACTAAACATTGGCTAAGTATTGGTCCAATATTGGTTATAGCGAATTCGGTTGGTTGCACTGCGCACTGAGAGCACGCTAGGCCTTGTTTCCAGTCAATTCTTATATTTAAAGTTTATCTTAATACCTCTTGCAATATTTCTTATCCAGAAAAATGGTCTGTACATCGTTTACACGGATCACCTTTTGACTAAATACTCTTTGAATATGTATTTAAGACAAAGTTAAATATAAGAACTGACTATAAACAAGCCTAAGTGTGCACTCAGTGCGCACTAATGCAAGTAACCGAATTATCGCTATTATATTAGAAATTCATTGGCCGATATTGTCCAACGTAAAGTCAATATTGGCCATGAAATAAATGTAAATATTGCACGATAATAATTATATAATGTTAGATTTATGTTGGAAGTGCATTGGCCAATATTTAACAATGTAATAACAATATTGGTCTAATATTCATGCAATATTAGACCAATATTGCTAAATAGACATATTGGCTAAATAAGAAAAGGCGTCCATCTTACAATAGTGGACCAATATTGGGAATACTAGATTTACATTATTTCTCAATATTGCGCCAATATATTGTGCTACTAGGGAAATTCTAGTTTCGAGAAATGTGTGGTCAGTCAACTTGCAGCTTTTATGGAATAGCTGCAAATTGATTGGCCATACATTTCTCAAGACTAGAACTTGGGGCTAGTTCTAGCATTGTGGACACAGACCTTAATGAGCTATCTCACATTAAGAGTCTGCCTCATAATAGGGAATTTTCATCCAGAGTTAACTAGGAAATTATAATATTGACGTTAATAACTGTTAATTCACACTGGGTTTACTGGGTAATTGCGTAAAAATTTACTAAAATACTAGTTGATTGATATAACTCGAGAGACTCGTCTAACGCTTATCCATTAAAACGCATAACCCTTCCCATTTTCTCGTGATATTCTTAACTAAATTTTTGTCGTTGCTCTTCTAGCGTGAAGAAAACAATCGATTGTTTTCCTCCGCGTCTGTGAAAAGTACAAGTGCGCACCTCGACTTTGTACGCAGACCCTGGTTTCATTTACGAAATGATATCCCGTGATGCACTGACACCTCTCGCTGATGCAGAACGCATAATTGAAAGTTTCCTGGCATACGTCGGTGTTGGCTTGACAGCGATCGCCGATTTTAGTGGGTCCTGCAACATTTCTTCTTTCAATCGAGTACAAAGGCAGCGCGTGTGACCTGCCTGATGCCTTCCGCGATTTTTCTCTGTGTTTCAACGCAATTTAAAATTGTTACTTACTACTGATGCAATTTGAAGAATTACTGCTGTCCAGGAAGAAATCATCTTTGCAGGCGCAGGTGTTCTGCTTGCATTCGCCGTTTGCTATACTTTGACACGGTACGTTGTTCAAGCAACTTAGTCCAACAGCTGCATAAAAAACACACAAGGAGTCTTATTGTGTATATAATATATAAAATAATTGCATCTTCTTTGAAAAGGTAACATGACCGAGCAGTCAAGAATCAAACCAATTGAAATTGTAATAACACAAACGATGGAAAGTTTAAAAATTACAATAAATTATGTATGTCAGCAACTCTTCCCATTTAGGCCACTCCTTCCGCGTAACATTGCGCGATCCTGATTCTCAGTAAAAATTGTTTACGCGTGAACATGAATAAGTATATAAAATTATATAAAAACATACATGAAATATGTCCATACGTATTTTTATATTGTATATATTTCTACATAATGTTATACAATTCTACATTGTGCTGTATATTTTTATAGATTTATACATGCTTTTATGTGAAAAAAGTTTTAATGTGAAAAATTGCTTATTTATAATTATATATAATTGTGTACAATTGGATAAAGTTTTATTTTATTAAGGGTGTCTTATTTTAAATGATCCACGCAAATGTCTCGACAAATATGAAAGATACGGAAAAACGTTTCAAACAAAAGTTGTTTGGTTCGACGGGGGACATAAGGTGGTTCTATTGACTTAACCTTGGATAGTCATTTGAAGGTCACCTTCAATTTTTTTAACGGAACCCCCTATTGTTTATTATACTACGTTATTCTACTAATTAATATGAACAACTTTTGTCCGAAACATTTTTTGATTCGCCTAATACTTTTTCCAGATATTCAAGAGAAAATTTATAACTTTTTCAATGTTTAGCTTATGATATCTCGATAACTGTTTGTCGGAGGGAAGAGCAGTACAGGACTTTTTTATTTGATTTGGTCTCAGGAATATGCTGTTGCAATAGTGCTCCAATTATTGAAAATTTTTGTGTATGTAAATTTTATGTGTTACAGAGAGAAAGTAACGAAGTTATGTTAGAGTTACAAAAAAAAAGTAACTGTAACTTCGTTACAAGTAACGAGTTACTTCCCAACCCTGTATATAATACTATATATTTATGTATGTTTATCCATGGAAAATTTTGTACCGGGTTATCATTTGTTGGGGAAAAGATTGGTAGCGTACTTACTGGCGATACACTTGGATTTATCGAGGCTCGGCGAATAAAACGGATCGCATAGGCAAATGTCTTGCCACCGGCAGAATGCATTCTCAATGCAGTCGACGTCCCTCTCGCATTTGTCGCCGACATGTGCGACAGTGCGTGGCGCTGAAACCAGTAAAAATGCTCTAATTGTGACTGATAGTTGGATTAATCGTCGGGAGGACAATTTGTAACATAATCTACGTTATCAGCAAATAAATGCTTCGATAACGATCGATTTCAAATAACGCAACAGACTAAGATATAAGTTTAAGTTTAGATTATAAAAGCACTAGAAGTACCTGAAAGTATCTAAAAAGATTAGAAACGCTTTCCAAAGTTAAAAGGCGTAAAATATATCCATAAGATCTAGAAATTTCCCGAGTCTCCTCCGAGGATATTTAAGGGTATCTTCATTTTGCAAAATAATATCTAAATAACCAAGAAACGTAGAATATCTAAATCTAATATTTAAAATACCTAAATGACATTTGAAAAAAGAGTCTCTATCAGCATCTCTTTGTAGCAAAATTTTTCATAATTCTTCGATCGCTGCGTGGAACGTAACACAATACAACCGATTTGAAGGTCGAGCGTCGTATTGGGAGCCGCGTGTTGGGAATTGCGTGAAAATTCGCATAACTCGAATACACTCACGATCCTGCTGAGAGAAGGCGTAGCCGGCGAGCGAACAGAGAAAGAAGGAGATGCGGAAGAGAGCCGTCATTGGGATCAAGATCTGTGCTCAGGTGCGAACGTGATGCATATCCAGCAGACTGCCAGATAGCGGCTTCACGACGCACCTTCCACTGGGGGACATACACAGTATACGCCCTGGACAGATAAACGTCTTATCTCGAGCGTATCTAGCGATATCCCGTTCAGCGTGAATCAGAGGTTTCATTTATCGTGCGAAATAATGCGCCTGTAGTCTCTAAGACTGGTATTCATAGTCAAATCTTATATTCGAGACTGTCTTAAGATCATCTTTAGATACTCCGTAGTCAATGAAATGTTCCGTGCAGCATCTTTAGATGAATTCAAGATGGTCTGGAATATAAGATCTGACTAATGGCAGTGGCGTCAATTCGCTTTGATTTAAAGACGAGACACGCGAAAGCGCTCCTCTCGTCCTTGACTTGACAGTAAACCGCCCAGTAAACGCCACTTATGCATATAACAGTTGTATAACATATTATAATTTCCTACTCAACAATATAAATGTTACGTATAACACATGTTGTACGTAAATAAAAGATCCCAGGGCATCCCGGGACATATTCAGGATAATCCTGAGGACGTCCTGTGCTATCTGGGTATACATAGGTATATATAGAACGATGTATATACAGGGTGTCAGACTCGTTAGCAGCCAAACTAAAAATTACGATAAATTGGGTTAAACTGAAAAGAAAAGTCACGTGCCGTTTTGCAAAATTAACAACAGTTATCGCGTAATTGATAAAAACGTCCGGCCTTCTGCTCCTTGTGCACTCATTCGGCTAGACGTTTTTATCAATTACGCGATAACTAATGTTAATTTTGCAAAACGGCACGTGACTTTTCTTCTCAGTTTAACCCAATTTATCGTAATTTTTAGTTTGGCTACTAACGAGACTGACACCCCGTACATACATATAAAAAACAAATATATACATATATGTATACGGGGTGTACCTAAACTGGCGATAAATATTTTAATGACGGTAATTATTTAGATTAACACACCCACCTCCAATAACCTTGGGCTTGACATATATTATAGAGGTCACCCTCCTGAGTAACCCTCAGAAGGATTTAGCCGGCGCTCGTTGTTTATTAAAAAGTTATTAAAAAAACAATGTCAACCAATTATATGTAATTTTTAGACACAAATATTAAAAATTTTGAAAAATATTTTAAACAAAAGTTGTAGATCTCTTTG